AGCTCAATGCCATATTGTTAGCTGATGGCAAATGAAAGGCTAAATTTAAGGCATTTCTTGAGTTCCAGCATACATTTCTACAGATACAAAGAAAGCCACAGCATTTCCAAACAGAGATGAAAACTTCTGTCATCAATTAATTTCTTAATTTACTAAGGCAAAATTATAATCAATATCATGCATTAACCTCCAGCCTAAGAAGTCTTTTGCTTCTTTGCTTCAGCGTTTTGGATAGCTTTCAGGGAACTGAAAGTCCACCAAGGAAGAAAGAATGGAGATGTTTTTAATTTCCATTGTATAAAAATATCTTTATATATGTATATATAAATGCATACATGTATATTGTCATTTTACATGTTTTAAATAGTCAATTTTTCTTTGTTTTTGTCATCTTTTAGAGGAATAAGCTCTTGCCTATAAGATTCCACTGTGTTTGAAAGATCAGCTTTACTTAATTCAATATTTTGTAGTGAAATAATAGCTTTCTATTTCATTCCTCCTGTTCAGAATGCAGATTTTCATGTTTATTGATCATGTGCAACAAGAATTAATCCTGAATTTTAAGTTTTGCTTTTGACTTTTTTACATCTTTAGAAATGTCCAGAAACAGAACAAGTCTCTCATTGGTCAAATATAATCAAAACCTTAGGAACAAAAAAAAAAAAAAAATACTTCACAAAACCTCCTCTTCAGGATATATACTACATTTTAAAAAAWCAACTTTAAAAAATATTGAAATCACATATGGAATTACGGCATTTATAGTCAAAGATATAAAGTAAGTTTTTTCAATATAACACATTTCACAAAATGTAGGAGTTAGTTACAATTTTTAGGGCTTAATAAAGTAGAGAGCTTAGCGTAAGTAGATGATATAGTATAGCATAGGGCATAGAGCATAGGGCATGGCGCTCGGAAGATCTTGTGATGTCACGGGAGTTAGGAGCATAATTAATTTATGCAGTTTACTGATAACCCCATGCCATACAAGGCGAAAAGTAGAAATTAGTCTCCYGATTGGGCAGTAGGTGAGTCTCCGCATTCTACGGGAGTATATGGGCAGACTGAACTGCGCAGTAAACGCCTTTTGCTGCATTCTCATATTGATGTCTGTGCTCTTAGGCCCTGGGGTGAGGACAACCCCAGGGCAGTCCAGCTAGCGAATGAGGCTTGCCGACCCCAGTCAGCAACAACAAAATCTAATAGGTGAGTAAACTGTTTATTGACTTTAATTCAAACAGTAAGACCGTGTGATTAGAAAAAAAAATCACAAATATTCTCACAAGAAGAGTGAAAAATCAATAGCCACCAATTGTTTAAACACAGAATTTCAGCATATTCTAGTAGGACTTATATCAAGAAAAAAGACAGTAGGATCGTATCTCAAGTGACTATGAGCCTGGTGAACTGTTCTCCAACATCCTTTTTTTTTTTTTTTCAAATTTTTGTTTGTTTGTTTTCAAAAACTAGTGCAAATTATGGAAACACTTCATAGGGAATTCCTTGTCAAGATGTTTTCTGCTATACTGTTCAGCCCTGAAGTCAAGATAGACAAACTTTTGTGGAGGGTACTGCCCTCCACATGGCTATTACATGATATTGAAYGAGAGATGGTGACGCAGGAGTGAGAGTAATCTCAGCCAGTTCAGGAGCAATATCATGAAACACAGAATTTCTAATATGAGTAAAAACTGGTGAGCCATTTGCACATAGGTGCCCTTATTTACCCTCTGCATTTGGAACCCTTGAATCACTCTAGAATTTGCAACAATATCAATTTCATATCATAGCCTCCCATCGAGCTTTTATTTCCATTTAGATAACTGCACACACTGCTATCCACTTAGATAACTTATACTTTTCATGAAACCTATTTTTTATCTAAACATTTAACATTTAACATTTAACATTTAAAATAGTAGTAGATATTGTGATTTCAGAATCATTTGATGGACATAGTAGACCTATTTCTACATTAGATATACAAACTGAAATACAGGAAGCTGCCTCTGAACATCAGAAAATAATCTTCTCACTGCAGAGCACTGGACCGGGTTGCCCTGGGAGGTTGTGGAGTCTCTTTCCTTGGAGATGTTCAGAAAAGTGTCCTGGTTAATCTGCTCTTAGTGATCCTGCTTGAACAGTGTGTTTGGACTAGATGGTCTCCAGAGGCTCTTTTCAACCCCAGCTATTCTGTGATTTTGTGAATTGTTTGGTTCAGAGAAAGTATGGGGTTCATATTTCACTGTCTAGTAATGACTGTAGCTCTTTCAACTATTTACCAATAAATTACCAGTTTACTGAGAAAAAATTAAACTGCCACTAAAAAAGTACTTAGAAAGGGAGGAATGAAGTTGTCCCTTCAAAACAATAAAATTTTTAAGCTTTTTTTTTTTTTTTTTTTTTTTAAGAGACAGCAGCCTGGTGTTCATTTACTCCTGATACAGGATTTATTTTGAACCTTTATAATAATGTTAATAGTTGCAGATTTGTAAGATATATATGCCTGTGCATATTGTCAATCTAGACAGTTACATCTAAATTTCAGAACATTGCTTGCTTTTATATTTTCTAATTTTGAAATTTGCAATTACTTTTACAAAAGGAAAGGGCAGACTTTGCCGAAAGGGAGATAGAAAATGACTGTCCTCGTTTTATAGCAATTAATAATTCCTGATCTAATAAATAACAAAAAAGTGAAGGTCAATCCTCAAACCTGATGCTTACCTGTTTCTTCAATATAATTTTACAGTTTTAAATGTCTGGTAACTTCAAGGCTTTATGGTTGCTACATAAAGTTGTTCTTTAAACTTTTGCGATTTTCTCTGTCTTGGTGCTTTCTTTCAAGATGTAATGAACCAGTATTCATAATAAAATTATAATCTTCATAAAATTATATATCTTTTGCAATAATACTTTGCTTTAAATGATTTAAACCAACTCTTAGATCATACTACATGCTAATTAAGTGGGGTTAGATTGCACTCCGGAAGCTTGTCTTTTTACTAGCTCTATTAAATATATATATATATATATATATATATATATATTTCATTCAGAATAATGTAAAGTATGTTATCCAAGTCTTTAACTAGAAAACATGACTTAACTCTTGACCATTAGGCATGGACTTCAAGCTGTAGTGTAAATAGACTACACTTGTGATGATAAGAAAGATTGTTAATTTTAATATTTGATTTGTATTAATAGCAGTGGAGCCTGTATTATAATGAGAAACCAAGAATGCTCTAAATCAGGGCATTATCTGTCATCTAAAATATCCATGACAYATTGAGAAAATTTTGAAAATTTCTCTCATTCTCTCATTCAATTTGAAGTCTTCTCTCATACATCAAATACAAATTTTTATTTGAATATTCTGTCTAWGTAGATCTTCCATATATTTTAGTGGATTTCACAGCACTCAAATTCTCATTTCATCTTTATATTTAATTTTAGTACACAGTCTTCTGAACCGGATATAAACTTCTACCTGGTGCTCTGCAAGTACACAAAATTTTACAATTCTTCTGCCTGCTCCCCATTCTGTGTGTATTAGGCACTTCAGAGAGGACTCACACATATGGATTTCACAAAAAAGACTGTGAGAACTTTCCCCACAATGTGCCACTTCCTTACACACAATTCCATTTCATAATACCTCTATRCTCTTTGCAGTTGCACTGCATTGATCAGTGCACCAAAGCACTTATTGCAAGGGAGACAAATCTGTGAATGTTATTTGGATCTTTAATTTACATCTCTCCTATGGCTGTTTTTGAAAATTTAATTGTTCCACTGACATGGTCTTGCTGTGTCTGTCCTATTCACCCCCTCTATACTGAAAGTTGAAACCAAGAATCAAATGTTCACTTAGCCTTCTTCAAGTTCATTTAATTTTCTGCAGAATGTCCAGGTTAGGGATCTCTTTTCTGTAAGCTAGAAAAGTCTGACTCTTAATTCTATTGGGAAAGTAATGATTTCAGAGCCAGGAGGCTGATAACTCACCCAAAAGCTTCTGCATAGTTGCTCAGACATCAAGACACCACAATTACTCTTTGTAAAACCATTTACAGTCTTTTTTACATAAAAAATAGGAATTTACAGTGCTAACAYCATATATGGTATAATTAAACGTTAACATAAATAAATGAGGTCTGTAGAGTAGCAAACAAAGAGACTATGTGGGGCTTTTATAACCATACTTAGCTAGAGGAGGAAATGATAACTGGCTCTCTGGGAGCCATCCAACAGTCACAGAAAAGCATTCAATAATTCCTAGAAGTTTTGAGAACATCTAGCCAAAATGGCTATCACTCTGATAGGATCAAGAAATACTATGTTTCCTTTTCTTGGTCTTCTAAAGAGGAGTAAAAATGTTTGAGAAAAGTTGTCATCTCTAATTACCACCATTGCTATATTATATGTATAAAAACACTGCTTTAATATATTTATTTTCAGCTCTCTTCTCTGATTCAGAAAGATCACTTTAGCTACTTTTACCATTATGCCTGGCATAAGATAGGGAGAAGTCTTTAGCAAAACCTTAGGCCCTTCATCTTTTCCAAAAAGAGTGTCAATATCCACCATTACTGTCTTTGTAGATGAACACAGTTAGAGGAAAGAAATCACAGCAGTGAGCTATAGTATTTTGCATAATTTCATTTCCAAACAACAAATAACTACATACCTAATCTGAACTCACCCATTAAATTCTGCATTAAATCTGTAATTTTTCAATTACTTTAAAGTAGTATTTTCAAATATTGCTCGTCAACTGCCAATAATATATCTTAAGCACAAGATTTAGTTTCACCTTCTTTGGAATAATATTATACCTGAAAAAAAAATCCTGATAGTGGAAAAGAGATGAAATATGGAGTTTTCTTTGTACAGTATTTTGTTCTACAAATAGACAATGCTCTGTAAATTAATCTGTATATTCTTTCATTTTCTGACAATGTCGCTACTAATTCAATACTTTCTACTCTCATTTTCAGCTTGGACACATTAATTGTATAGAGCTGGCATCCTCTGCTGGTTCAGACAAGAAAGGATCTTCCATCTGGAAGAACACAATGCAGATATCAACTATTAAGCTGCCTGTCTCCTTATGTCTAAACTATCCTTTTTCATTGAGTGATTTTACAAAGTTTCCTGTCTTGCACTTGAAGATATCACTCATTTCCTCTACTTAAGAACACTAGAATTTTATTCTCTCTCACCTTCTTGGATGAGCCATTATACAGATTAGAGCCTCTAAATTGCCCATTGCTTGCTCAATGGAGTGCATAAAACCTGGTTTAAGCAGCTCATCACCTTTTTTGGTATCCTGTTTAGCTCACTGTAACGTTATTTATTTTCATTGAATTAGAAATGGAAATCTGTTTTTGCTATGGTCAGGTAGAGATGTCAACTTTCCTTCACTTTCCTGTAATGTCATATTTTTGCTATTTTCCTTCACTGGAAAATATGAGATGGTTACATGACTGTTTCTGCTGCTCTTTCACTATTCTCATTTAAATCAGTAGCAAACACTTCGGGATCCCATCTGCCTCTAAACCCTCAAAATCCAGACCTGACCCGAACTATTCCTTCTTGGAGCCCTGACAGACTTTGAAAGAGCCCATGCCTCAAAAYGTCCATCTGTTTAACTGCTGGGGCAATGCAGATCTGACAGAGTGAGCTGGGACAGAACGGTGTTCATGCAAAGGAAACATCTTCCTTTTTGCCTTTCGTTTGGGAGGTCTGTGGATGATTTTTGCTCTTGTTTTCATATCTCACTGTGGTAAATGACTATATCTGGTAAACAAATAAAGAGTTTATCAAGAAATAAAAACAAAAAAGCTGTGCTAACTCCAGACATGATTTTTTGGATTTTTTTCCTTCTCTTATTTTTTTTCTAATCCTTGCTACTGCAGAGAGACAGCCCTATTTGTTCTCATAGAGCTGTTTGATTTGGGAAACAAACATATATAGACTTCTGRTGATCACCATTTACATGTGGCCTGGACTCCTCAAAGATATCAGGGGCTTGCACTGAGCATAAGAACTATTTTAATTTTCTAACACAATTACAAGCCTTAAAAGTCATGTGAATTAGGAAGCTGTTTCTTGACTGCAAGGAGTGAGTTACTCCGGGCAGATGGAGTGACCTGGTGTGCTGTAATAAACAAGAAGGAATGCTGAAAGTCTTGTGGGGAAGGGAAAAATTGCTTTGCAACCTGCCAAAATATAATGCATYCATTACAGAATATTCTGAAATCTCTCTAACCATAAACTATCACGACTGCAACAAAATGAGGAGCCAGATGTTGAATAGGTTCATAGATATTTTACAGGTACTTAGATCTCCAGGTTCTGATGCACCTGTGAGAATCCCCCAGCTACAAAAATATATAGACAAGCAGCATGGGTATCGGGCCTAGTATCACACAATAATAGTCACAGAGCAGTATTTTATGAGTATTTCTTTGGCTAGACTTACCAAACTTGAAGGTGAGGGAATTATTTCTACATATCTTTTGGAAAGTGCTGCACCTGTCACCCATGAAAGGCTGCAGATGTGACTAGGATCATGTCCTTTGCAAGTAATCAGTAAGGTACATGGGATAGGGAGGAAAGTCAGACAAGTAACAAAGCAGAAAAGCACAGCAAACTCTCCAGGAGAGTAAATGCACATCACAGAAGGATCAGAGAAATTATAATAGTGTTTTGTGTGACATATTTATTATGTTAAAAACAGTTTTTCATATCGCCAGAAACACAGTAAAAATAAAAACAACAAATATATATATATATATATATATTTTTTTTTTGCTTACTTCCTAGCAAACAAATCTACTTAAAAGCCCATCAGGAGAGTGGAAATTCTTGTAAGCAGCCCCATCACAGAAATCCAGGGCCGAATGAGCCTCAGCTTCTGTTAGTAGAAATGTTTCTTCTGGAAAAAGTGGACTAAGCCACAGGGTGTATGTTGTATCATGTTCTGTGGTCCCTGCTGTGTCTGTTTTGAGGATGAAGGACATCATTTGCAAGAACTATTGACTTGTCATTGTCAACAAAATTATTGAAGTTTTAATGCAGAGGGGGAGAAAAAAATAAAGATCTCACTTCAGTATGAGAAAGACTGTTTGCTTAGTATTCCTAACACTCAGAAAGGCAGACCATAGAATCTAATTTCAGTTACATAATTCTTGAAAAGAAGTGAAGTAATAGCATGAACTTAGCTGTCTTTATACAAACCACAGTTCTAAATCTCAAATTCCTTAGTCTTTCTGTGAGAGACTTTAATACACTTACTGTGTCTCTTCTTCATTCTTCTATGTAGACCAGACTGAATTTAACAAATGTATACAAAGAATAACAGCTGACATTAACTTAATGTGCAGGAGGTTAAATCCAATAACTGCTGCTTGGGTAATGGAGATGATAAAAGCATGCTGAGACCTGAAGAAGAGAAGTGATTAAATGAGTCTACACAGTTCTACTGCCTGTAACTGCTACAGAGCTGCAATAGTATTTGAGATACATTGGCACTAAAGCCTAAAGGAATTCTTAGTAAATGAATTAAGCACTGTACTCAAGCAGATGTAATAGGCCTCTAGTCCCTCAAGCTGCTGGGCTCTCATGGAAGTTGCTCAACAGATACTAGGAAGAATATCTATTTTGTCTGACAGCTTTCCCCAAACAYGCGTACACATAGATCCTGTGAACCTCCCTGCATCAAAAAAAYAAGTGATTTAACATCTGTAGATGCAAGCTGTGGAGCAGCAGTTCCCCAGAGGGACTACAGTGGCCACCAGCTCGTGGGGACTAACAGGAGACTGCAGCTGGGGACTTTGCTAGCCCAGCCTGCTACAACCCTTCTCTGCAGGATGGCAGGATTAAGGAGAAGGCTAAAACAATGGAATTTGTGCATGCCTAGTCTGCTTACTCTGCCTGACCAGAGCACAGATATCGGTGTGGCAGCTGCTTTCTCAACCCTCTCCCCTCATATTRACTGGTGGGCCAGTCTGTCAGCTGCATACGTATGCTTAGCAGTGGCATACTGGCAATTAAGAAGAGAATGAGTCACATTTGTACTGTATACGGGTGAGCAGTTTATAAAATATGTAAGTATGAAATCTAAGGGTACAGGAGTCCTACTGTGATTCAGGTTAGTTTTTTCCAGGAGTTATTTTCCCTTTTACAGGGGAGAAAACAAACAGTACGATTTTAAAAATTCCATAGTTATTTTAATAGATGTGGTGACTTGCAATGTGCATGCAAACTACTCAGAATCTCTATTAAAGTAGAATTTCTGTCTTGTTAGTAGTAACCAAGAACTAACTACTTATCAAAGTAAGAAAGTATAGATGGGAAAGACTACATGTAAGTACTAATTTTTGAAAATCTCAACCATATTTTCTATAATTTTCACATAAATCTGAAGTATTAGTATCTATACCAGAGTCAGGGGGTCATTCAGCCCATAAGGAACTGATAGAAGAACAATAAAAAAGAGATTTTCAGTTGTCACAACAGGTCTGGAGAAATGATGCATCAAATGATGCATCTCACTGCTTGAGAAAAATTTTAGAAATATCTTTTTCTTAAATGCTTTTTCCTTCCATGCAGCTGGAGTCTCGGACTGTGAAAACTGCCATATAGGCTTAAACACAAAGAAAATATAGAAAGTCATATTATTTATATCTGAAAAAATAGGTGCAGAGATTTCTTTGGATCTTCAAAATTAAAAGCAGATAAAAAAGATGCTGGAATAGCTCTCTTTCAGGAGAAATGTTGTGCTTTTCAGGATGCAGGATCTTTCTAGTCTTAACCAGTAACAATCTCCATCTGAAAGACGAAGGCTTTTAAGTCATTCTCCAGACAGCATTTATAATCTACCTAAGTCTCTGTTCCTGCAGCAAACCTTAAGGTCTATATTAATTTGCTTGTATCAGTATTGTTAAATTCCAGACGACTAATTCTTGGGTTCTATTCAGCACAACATTGCTGCCTTTTCTGCATTACGCTACTCTGGGTGACTGGTTATGCTCCAACAGATACGAAGGTAAACACTTAAAAGCCTACTCAAAGGGCAAATACTGCCTTTTCAGAACATGACTTAGGACTTCTCTCTCTAAAATACTGAGGAGAAGAGGAAATCAGTATTATAGAAGGGTAGTTATTCTCAACTTTCTTTTTCATCAATGATTTCTCCAACCTAATTTGCCCAGTGATTGCTATCATAATGGGTCATGATGGCTGTGGTGCAAGAAGAGTTATCGATATTGCTACCACCGTCCTGCCTCTCCACCTGCCAGCGGTGCTTTGCCAGAGGCATGCAGCTTGTCCTGTCATTTTTTTTTGCATAGGAAAAAGCAGGAAGAGCTCCTCCATTTTGCTTGTGGACCTGGCAGAGTTGCTCTTTATTTATTTATTTTGTTTTATTTGGTTTCGTTTTGTTTTGAGTAGTTCTGTGAAAGTACCTATAGCATATTTTTATTAATTCCTGCTTTTAGAGCTACTACTGGTAGCTCTATCAGCTCTCTTTGTTATGTATCCCTTGACATTCTCCCCTAATCTCAGAGGCTCGGCCAAGTTCTGGCCACGTTCGTACTTTCAATTCCTTTCCTTTTTCACTTTGCAAACATTAATTACAGGCAATAGCAGCTGAGAAACTTATTTTCTCTGTGATAAGCCTTCTACACTGATTTTCCAAGAGTACTCTAGTATACACACTTTCTCAGTCTCACTTTTGTTTAAAAATAAACAACAAATTGCATTTTAAGCAGTCCATCATTACAGAAATAATTCACCCAAAACMACAGAGAAAGGAACATTACCTTTGCTAGCTATAACAGGAACTTACTAGCATATGGCTTGATGTTTCATATGAATTTTTAAAAACTGAACAATCTGTCTCACCTTTCACTTCTCTGGCCCATCGTGTGCATCATCCTTATTACAGACGAATGCCAAGTTTTTATTTATTTTTATCTCATAGTTATGGTGMATACATAACGCTCAGTGACCAGCAGTGAATATGCTCTTGCAGAAAATAATTGAGAAGCTACAACTCTTATGTGTTTTTGCAATTTTCTGCAAGGCTTGCTCCTGTCATTAGCAGAAGCGATTCATAGGCTTTATATACTGCAGATTGGAAACTGAATCAAAGTTTGTTTCTTTTTTAGAGTATTTACAGAAAATCTTTAACTTATGGCAATATAGCCATTGTCTAGTTCAGTCAGCAAAAACAATGTATCTGAGTTATTATTTTATAATGAATTATACATTTTATTGTGTCTATGCATCTATACTATTTTACATAGTTTCAGTAGAGATAGAAAAGCATTTCTGCTTTAAATGTCCCTCCAAGCCTTTAAAACATTTCAGGGGAAATGTAACAGGATTTGCTTACATCAGTAAAGCATATATCTTCTTGAACTTCATATTTTATATTGAATTGGTTTGTGCTCTTAGTTTCCCCAGGAGGTTTTAAGATCTCTCTTCTTTTCAATCTCTTTCACAGTCGTGATTTTTTTCCTCTTCCCTCATATTTCTTTTTGTGATTTTTGGATTCAATGGTAACTTATCTTTGACATTAAGTGCTTACATTTTTCACATTAAGAATTTATAGTTTGCAAATATGTTCTCTGACACTTGGCTTTTGATATTCACTACTTAATTTCAAGAGAACATACTGCAAGAACATACTGCATAGCAGTAAAGTTCTCGTTATTACCCATTTTCAAAGTACAGCTTACCCCTTTCATGYGCCATTTTGCTCCGATCTCCTGTCATATTCCTGTCAAAAAGAGGCAAATCTGTCTATGGCACTTAAATTGTAAATATTGATATTTTCATGA